TTTGAGACTCAGCCAGAGTCACTGAGAGAGATGAGCGTTGCCACGCGCAAGGCTGGTCGTGCCACACATAAGAGACAGAGAGAAGTTGCGCACTTGTTTTCTCTCCCACAGAGAATGTATGGAGGGTGAATTGTGAGCCTATAAACTAGCTGCCTAGCCTGTAATCGATAATTATTATTTACGCCCAATCAATTTGCATGACACATGTGCAAACTGTCCACATGTATGCAGCCATAGTGTTACATTCTAAGTTCCAGATTTGATGATTATGATGTCATTACATGTCATGTGATCTCCCCCCAGCTCACTGTGCATTGTCATCGTAAGAAGACAGCACCATGTGGAATGAGCAGAGGATCTGCAACAACTGATGGTCGATTTGCATACTTCACCCCACGTCGCGCCACCTCACGTGACTCCACCTTAGTCTACCAATATGAATCTAGTACAGAGAAATGGGAGGAACTTCCTTCATGTCCGTATCAGAACTCTGGACTAGTCATCATTGACAGGGAACTAACTGCTGTGGGGGGAGAGGATGGATCTCGTACTAACGAACTATACACATTACAACAGAGGAACTGGGTTGAGAAATACCCTCCAATGAACACTGCACGTTCCTGCACTGCTGTAGTTACTACATCTGATGGGGAATACCTCATTGTGATTGGGGGGCGTGGTGATGGTGGTTGGACTGCGACAGTTGAACTATTTCAAGTGAAGAGCAGAAGATGGTACCAACTAACAGACTTACCACAACCTCTCCCCTACCCTTCAGCCACAATATGTGGTGATCAGTTGAATGTGATAGGAATTAAGGCTAATAGCTACTCGTGTTCTCTTGCAGCCCTACCATCCAGTGATCAACCGATCACATCACCTCCCATCCTATCCTGGAAACCTCTCCTTCCTCTACCAGTGGAATTCTCAACAGCTGCCACTCTCTGTGGACAACTAGTACTCATTGGTGGGATTCGAGGTATGTCATCAGTCAACTCCATTCACCAGCTAGTGGATGGACAGTGGGTGGAGATTGGCACTATGACTAGTGGTAGGAACTACTGTTTAGTAGCCAGTACATCACCTGACAAGATCATCATATTGGGTGGAGTTTTAGTTGAAGAATGTGTTGTTGTATAGTTTCATGCACTTTTTGTGTCCATTATCTCATAATACACAACATTTCAACTCAGTTAGAGACATTGTGTGTGTGTCACTGTTTTTTTGTACAAGAATGATGTAATTATGATGTAATGTCTATTTCATTTTGGCCATGAGATCGTTCATATCAAGCGAGACAGCAATTCTCTTGCGGTTCACAACAGGTGCGGCAAAACAGATCCTGTCAGGGGAAAAATGGCTTACAATGATATTAATTTTCATGTGTATTAACAGACACTGCACATATGTACCATATAATGTTCTAGCTACATATGTGATACTAAACATGCGTGAAAACAGCCATAGGTGTTGGTTGAAGGTTTTTACTTTTCGCTCTAATAGATGTTCTGTTCTCAGTGTTCTCATATTATTTCAAGGACGAAATGAACCATTTTTTGGCACCTCTTTTTTCATTGGGCAGTCTTACTTCACATGTCAGAGATCTTCACACAATATATGAGGCCAAACTCACTTTTTGAATTGCTCCAGTTCATCATCGTAGTCATCAGATAACTCCTCTGACGGCAGATCTGAAAAGGAGTGAGGAAAGGGTTAAAATGCATACTACACCATATAAGGAGATGGCCTGCAAGACAAAACCATTCTGCAGTAGCCAGTACTTCAATATCATGCCATTAGGCATGAACATACCAGCAGATGATCTACAGCAAAGAGGAAAATGGTGAGTGTGGCTTATTGGAATGACCTTTGACCTTCCCCCCTCCCACTCTAAGAGACACATCTGTGGGCAGGTGGGGTAGGACATGCTTGCGTAGTTACGTAAGAACCACATGACAAAAATGTGTGTTCCATACATGCCAATGCTCATAAGCGTTGTATTGGAAGTATGCGTAGTAAGCTACGAGACGAAGAGAGGGAAGAGAGAGGACATGGCCTGGTACTCATCCTCCTGCCCACGTCCCTGCCAAATGTTCGCTACCAACTCTCAAGACAAACAGACTATCAAAAAAGCTCTCCAATGACAAGAAACTGTTACAGAAACGATATTATGGGCTAAAAGCACAAGTTCTTAGCGGATTATCGTGACGGAATTTTAGAAAGGTATCTGTGAAGTACAAGCTAGGCTACCAGCAATTCGGTGCGTGGCTTGGCCTAATGCTATCCACTCTCTACAGCTCATGGCTTACTGTAGGACGTACCTTGGATTACATAAGTACTAGTATGGTATAGGGACAGAGCTAGGACTACGACCGAGGCAATGGAATAGTGACGTCACTTCCTGTTTTGTGGCATTGCTGGACATCCCTCTTGGATTGGGTCAAATGGTAGTAGACGGCAGTGGAAAGTCAAGGCCAGATGCTAAACGTCTCGCTGATAGAATAAAGTCGCAAGCTTAGGCACTCCCATTCATAAGCCGCTAGCAAAAAAAAGAGTTGAGGTTCCACCAAGATTTGCGATCTCCTAAGGTGCCCACTTCACTCTGTCAGGAGAAAAACTTCAGCGACGGCCTAGATTGTGGAAAAAGAGTTGAAGACTGGTGAACAAGAAAACCCATACATTCAGGACTGCTGACTTAGCAAAAATTGCTCACACGTGATCGTGTCCTTCACCCCCTGACGCTCAATAGTCACCAGACTCTTTTCCTCGAGAGAGGGCTGGGTCTGGGCACGAGACTAAGTAGCCCGCCGCGTGGGAGGCTGGATGATGCAATAGTAACCGAGGCGGAGCCGAGGTTGCGTTATTCAGCCGACCACAGGGCAAGGCCCGAAGGCACGAGAATTTTATCGTCTTAGTTTTAAGATTGATACTTCCTGTGACACGCAGAAAAAAGAAGAATCTGTCAGCAGTTTGGGCACAGCAAGTGAGAAGACACTGAACCTGTGATTGAATAGGCTTCTAAGAAGGCTATGGTGTGAGGTGCACCGGGAACTTTGGTGGCAATGGTTGCAATTTCACGATAAACTTCACTTTTGGACGACTGTAGATAGTTTCCTTGAACTCCCAGTGTATGCATTGTACTGCTATATTATAATAATTATTGTGCTGCAAACAGAAGTGTCTTAATAAGCCACAGGTATCTTAATATATACCACTAAGAGACCTGTGGGTAGGTGTCTTACCCCAACATGAACCTCATTAGCTATTTTAAAAGCATTCTTAACATACCATTTTCTTATAGCTAGCTCTAGGGAGAAAGATGGCCGAGTTTCTTCGTAACCACCCAGAGCTGCAGCCGTTCGTGCTCACAAACGTACGGCTCACTGGTACCACAATCAGCGCAGGAGCCTACGGCAGCGTGGAGGAGGTGGCCGTGCCTGGAGCCGCCTGCGCCGCCAAAAAGATTCACGACGTCTTCCTGAACTCGGCTCTGGTCCCGTCGTTCGTGGGGGAATGCCAGCTGATGAGCACCCTCCGCCACCCGAACATCGTCCAGTTTCTTGGCTTGTGTTTCCTGCCCGGCTCGCGACTGCCGGCCCTCGTCATGGAGCGACTGCTGACGAGTCTTCATGACTTGCTGGACCCAGAAACCGACACCCCTCCCCCGCCCGACGCACCAAAGCCCTTCTTCCCGCTGGGCTTAAAGTGCTCGATCCTGCACGACGTGGCTAGCGGGCTGACATACCTCCACGAGCGATCGCCGCCCGTCATCCACCGCGACTTGTCGGCCAGAAACGTTCTCCTGAACTCGGGGATGGTGGCCAAGATAGCGGATCTGGGCGTGGCTCGTATCGTGCCTCGTATGGGAGTTGCAGCCACCATGACAAAGGGACCTGGGGCCATAATATACATGCCTCCAGAGGCCATGGAAAGCAAACTGGAGGAGGAAAATGAGGAAGAGAAAGACAAAAATTCAAAGTACGATGCAAGCATCGACATCTTCTCTTTTGGTGTCGTGGCCATTTTCACACTCTGCCAAACCTTCCCCTGCGACTTGCTAGCTCCCAACTATCGTGGCGAACAACAGCATAAAGCTAGAACTGAGCTAGAGCGACGAGAGAGATACATGAAGATGATCTACATGCAGCTACGCAAGAAGCATCCACTCCTCCAGATGATCGAAGGGTGTCTGGACTTCCCTGAAGACCGGCCGAGCATTCGTGATGTGCTGCGTCTGTTGGAGGAGGCCAGAGCTGAAGTGAGAGACGAGCAGACAGACATGAACAAACTGGAGCTTTTGCAAGCTCTTCAGACCCAGCCCA